TGTGTGTGTGGAGGGGTGGGGGTGGGGGACAGGAACTTGCAAGGGGAATTCAATGTATGCTGCAAAATCTGCCAAATTTCACTGTGTTTGCTATTCGATTTCTATCTATCTGAATCGTTGTTGTTTCTATACATGCATTTCCCTTCTATCTGAGACAATCATCAATGTGGAAGAGTTCTATACTATGAAATAATGATCCTCCCTTTTAATGTCGTTGTTTCCTCAATAAACTTTCTCTACTACTATACTACTTGTATCTTTGGCTTGTTGAGACGCAGAAATCTTCCAGTATCTTTGACAATCATGCTTTTATTAGTCCAGTTGGACTGTAATTATAATAATTGTATTTTTCTCCACCATTGACATGATTTTAGATTATCAGGAGGCGGGCTGCTTTGATCCAACATTTCAGACAGGGTCAACCCTGGCTCAGACTGATACAACGTCCCGACAGACAGAAGAAGATGTGAAAGGGTTTGGGCTCTGGGTTTTTTTTAAGGCTTTTGTGAGAACTTTACGATACTTGCAACACAATAGGTTATATAAGTGCGAAGATTAAAGGGCTCTGTTGTTGCTGTTTTTTTCAAGCTTTAGTGAGAGTTTTACGACACTTGCAACACAATAGATTATAATTATTTTAAGTGCCAGAGATTAGACGTGTTACAAGAGAGCAACAAACACAAAAAAAGAAGTAGGGGAGACAAGGATGATATATGTTGGATAGGAAAAAGAGAGCAAACCATACCAGAGCACCCGCCAACCACACACAGGGCTCTGGCATTAGACAGAGCTTTAAGTTTTTAGGGACTGACATGGCTTGTTCTGTTTATTATCCTGAGCGGCCGCAACTGCAAGCGAAATGGTATGATGGTGATGTTCTGGTAGGCAGATGCTCTTAAAAGAACTCCCCAAGTATTTTCGGTGTCGTCATGAATAAATGACAGACATTTAACAGAGATCAAATTAATATATTTTTATTGAAGGAAAAACATACTAATCGAAGGAATAGCATTTTAAAAACCGTCATCTTGTTGCTTTTTTTCTTCTTTCTTTTTTTTTCTCATCTTCTTTGCCCGTTTCCTTCTTCTTTCTTTTCTAATATTGTCTTATCGTGATCTTAAAAATGTCTGAAAAACTACAATTATTTATTATGAATGTAAAAAAACAACAACAGCAAAACAAACTGGCAAACAGAAAATCAAAGAAATGAATATTGTAAGTAGATAATCAGAGAAATGACAAACAAGGAATAAAAAAAATGAAATACATTGTATATGAATATGATGATGATGATGATGATGATGATGATAGGATCTCCTTTCTTTGATATTCAAGCGTTTGTGATTTCGTGTGTAAAAATTAATGAGTATGCTTGAGGACTGTGAAAAGTCCGATACAATGTACGTGACATTCTGTTCTATGTAGTTCAGCTCAGCGACAAACCCTGACTGGCTCATTATAATTTTGTTTGCAGACATTCTGTATGTAAAATACCTCAGGTTTTTTTTTTTTCTTTAAAGGCTCAGCTGGTATCACGTGGCGCCATAACCTCCAGGGACATTGTGTGACAGTCTGTCCGAATGACCATTGTGGTGAGGCGTGTTGACTAAGTGAGTTACTTCTTGCAGTCCACAAAAGGAGATACATGTATTGGCCAAGAATCGACATTTTGGGGGGTCAAATTTGTAGATTTTCTATTGATGCCATATTCATTAATTAACCAAAACCTGTCTTTTATTGTTTCATACTTTAAAATTTAGCAAACTTCACCTAATTTATAAGTATGAAATAATATTAAAAGACAGGTTTTGGTTAAAGAATATGGCATCAATAGAGAATTTACAAATTTTACCCTAATGTCGATATAAATTTGCAAACTTCACCTATTGGAGCTCATATGACCTTATGCAGTTGTGGGCGCCATAAAACCTCTACTGAAACTATACTTCACCTATAAGCGTGATGTTTCTATTTCGTTAGGAGTCATTTCGTTAAGGCTTGAATCCGAGAAGTAACTCATTTTGTCAGCACGCTTCAGTCAGACTATCCTTTTTCGCGGACGTTCTTGATCTCTCGTTGATCTGGGGGAGTTTGATGGAGGCACTCCACTCTAATCGGAGTTGGGTTGGACACTTCATAAAACAATGTTTATACTAATTCGGGGGCTATTTTATCTATATCATACTCCCCGTTTTTGCACTTCTGTGAAGAAAAATATTACGCAGTTATTGTTGATATTTGTTTGCAAAGAAACGTCTGGTTAATTACGTTTTGAATGTATGCAAATCAAAGATTTTTCGTCGCGCTCATAAGGCAGTTGCCTAAGTCATTTTTGACTGGCTTTGGAGTTTTTGGTTCTGAAATGAAGAGCAGAGCCAGCTTTGTGATATAGTACACTTGGACACCCCTCCAAAAAAAAAAAAAAAAAATTTTTAAATAATAAATTCCTTTTAAAAAAAAAATGTAAAAAAAAAAAAAGTCCAATATAAAACTACATGTAATTGAGTGTACCAAAATTCAAGCGTTTCACAGCGTCACTAGTTCGAAACAAATCGGTTTTTTCTCTCATTTTCTCAAAGTGGGTAAAAATGACTTAGGCATATTTATCTTATGAGCATGACGATGTAGAACTTTGCCAAATTCTTGTTTTGCCCCACTGCCCAGTTTCCACATTATACCATATTATTATTATTA